TAAAAAAGCATGGACCAATAAAAGTTTAGGGTAGGGGTTGTTCCCTGACATGGGAATGTGGTCAGAAGGGTTGATTCTTTGCATAGAAGATACATGGCAATGATCAAAATTTAACGGGATCAAAACACAACCAAAGTGGATTTGTGTATCTGAGTTGTATCAAGGGGAAAAATTAAAGAAGGCTTGTATGTGGAGGGATTTGAGACTTGTAAGGGAGGTAGCGCAATCATGATCCACTGTGGTTTAGGTGAAGGATTCAGGTCACACAAACGTACGCGCGTACGTTTGTGTGACAAAAGATGGTGCATGATGGTGCACCACCCCAAATTTATGTGATGTTATGCAGGCACTCCCACCAAATAAGGACAAGGCCAAACAGAGGCAAATCTTCAGATTAACTAGGCTGGCTGCATTTGGCCCATTCCCCTTTGTCATGCGGCATATAGTTTCAATTGGCAGCCCCACATCACTTGGATGCAAGTGGTGTGCAGGGATCTTGTGATTGCTATGGTTTGATGATCTTGCTTGAACTAGGGCCGGTGTGGAGGTATACCGGTGCATCGTTGATCCCATTGATATAACACCTGGGCACATGACTCCTTTGTTATGTGGTGGTGGTGGGTCAGCAAATTATCAATGACCAAATATCCAAGAAGGGGAGTTGTTTTGACATTACATTGGGTAAACCGAGAGTGGTGTGGTAAAAAAGATTTATAAGAGCAAGCCCATTCCTCAAGTGTCGTTCCTCCCCCCAGATAGTATAAAATTTTTTCCCCCAATCGGCTCCACTTCTCTTCACTTCTAGTAGTAGTACTAGTACTAGTAGTAGTAGTAGTAGTAGTAGTAGTAGTAGTAGTAGCATTGACATATTTTATCACACTATGATTGATGTTGTGGGGAACATTCACATGTCTTTGACCGATCCCAGCTCCATTCATGTGGTTGGTCAAGATATACATCTGCTCAGTTGTGTTGCGAGTCCAAATGTAGTACAAGAACTTTGCCAATCCAAAACTGCACTATTCCATGTTGTGCTTAAGACATCAAAATTTCTTTTCCCTTCTATAATACTGCACAGAGATACCCAGATTTTTATTTCCGGTCACCTAGCCACCCCATCTCCACCAATCCATACCGTTCAACCTAGAATTGAGGTTCCCTCTGGTGGCTGGATGGCACATCTGGGTGAACTCGAAAACGTGGTCGAGGATGAAGTTCAGAAGGCAGTGGTTTCGGGGAATGTCTATGTGGCGGGGGTTTTCTGGAATCGCCGAAACCAATGGAATAGCTACGTCAAGGTTGTTAATCGCTCTCTTGGAAAGGTTAATTTTTTTTATTGGATAGGACGAGATCTCAATCATTATAGTAATACACTGACATATTTATCTTTTGGATCCCTTTCTTGGTTGTTGCAAAATCAGAATGTTAAAATTCAACTTTTGGCTGGCAACCCGACCACATTGAGAGGAATTCAACAATTGAAGCGAGGCGATTGGATCCAGGTTCAAGGGTATAGTGCGCAGGGGCTGCCCCAAGAAGATGGAGTACTCAAGGTGAAGGTTAGTTGGTAATTTTACCCCTTGACCAAGGAAAATTCCAGAGCTAATGGCTGGTTTATGATTGCACAAGATACGGGGATTTTTAGCCTTGGGGCGGTCTGAACCAACCCCATATGGTCTCAGGAACAATCCCCCAAAGAGATTCAACCTGACTGTGGATGATTGGAAACAAGAAAAGAGGGCGAAGAGAGGAGGAAAGAATATATCTACTGGGCATTATCTCATCCACTCCCGTTCTCAGAAATAAACTTGCGGTTGAGCATCCTCTAAAAAAATCTCAAAAAAGGTGGACTGAGCATGATGATTTGACAGTCCAAGGGGTGTTATTTTCCAGTTACTTTTACCGTTTGGCCATTGATCTTCAAATTGGAATACTTGTACATGTTTTCACTTGATCCAGGGGTGTTTGATTGAAATGTGCCACTTATCTTGAACCAAACTTGTATCCTGTGCCAACTGATTGGAAAACCTGTTTAAAGGGAATGACAAATCAACTTCAAGTCATGAGGTCAAATTCCGCTTGAATTGTCAATATCTTGAGAAGCTGGTTAATTTACCTGATATTTGAATGTGTGTTGGTTGTTAGTAGGTGGCTTTTGAATTTCAATACAGATACTTGTGGAAGGTTGTGAGCACCACAAACATCATACTTCTCAACCAGAATTGAATTGACTTGAGAAAATTGTAGGATTGTCATTGAGAGTCAATAGGGGACTCATTTGAATTAATCTGCTGCCATCAAACACAAGCTTGCATTGAGAAGGGATAGTGTATGTTGCACAATTCAAGAGTGATTGATAAAAATACTGATGTTTGAGAATTTGAGACACAACTTTCATTTATCCACCCTCTGTGCTGTTTACTCAATGAAAATTGACCCAAATGATATTTGGATCTGTATTACAATTTTATTGTAAGACATACTTGGGTATGGTATCTTACATGAGGGCCCTGTCCCGATTTGGCTTCATGAATTTAGTTCTGTACAGTCAACAGTGCAGAACTAAATTTGTCGAGTACTTACTTGATAAACCTGGGATATCCCACGGGTTGTGTTTACAAAGGTATGGATAACACACACTCTGCATTTTGCCCAATTTTAGTTGGCCATTTTACACCTGAAACCTTAAGGTGTACTATCGTAATTTAATTTCAGCTGGATATATGAGGGAACTCAGCGTGGACAAAACACAAAATAGGAGATGAGGGGGCCAAGGGAAACAAGACATTACAAGCAGTTTAACTATTTTGTATATGTGTGTTTTGAAAGAATGATAGGCAAATAACAGGAACAAAACCTCAAGCAGAGAAAAACAGCATATCAATATCATTTTTGAGTAATCTGACGAGACGAGTTTGGAATTAAGAAGGGACTAGTGGGTTGGATCTCTTTCCAGTGATTCAAGTAATCAATGGTAATTGCTTCGGCAAGTTGGTGGCAGGTGGGTGGCTTGTGCAGTGCAACAATCTTGTTGGGTGACTCAAAAGCTGGTTTAAATATTTTAACGATGTAAGCAGAGAGATTCTTCCAAATGGGTTCCTCGGGGGTGCGTCGAGTGGACGAGGTTTCACTGATTATTGAAATGGCCTGAATGAAATAGATGCATTCCGAGACTGGGGAGGTTTGGTGGTTTCTGGAGGCAATGAAGAGTCCACGAACACCACCAAGTAAAAAGTATACAAGGGGTTGGAAGTTCTGTCGGGATTGTATTGTTTGAAGTTGTTTGCTTGCCTCGTCCTTCAATTGTGTCAGCTGAGTTGAAGTATTCCCGGTAGTGGTTACAGCAGATGAGCCCTGTGGATTGGGGTTGGAGTTTCGAGCGGAGCGGGAGCGGTTCTTTCTCTGGGTGCTGTCAAGGGGCTGGCTACTGAGTGCGTGCGTTTGGAATATCACATAAGCCATGAAGACATCAATAATGAGATTTCGAAATTCCTGTAAGACATCAACTGAGTGAGAACGTTCGACCACTTGAGATTCGGTATCGGCAGGGTTTTCAGTGCTTGCTTCAAAGGAGGAGGAGGCAGCCTTGAGCTTGTCGAGGTGTTTGAGCACTTGCACGCCTTGTAATATTTTGTCATCATCTTCACATGTTTCTGGTGGTGGATCGTTGTACAAGTTGTCGGCCATGAGCTCAACAGAGGCAGCAATGATCTTGGCCCATTCAGATATGATGGAGGCTGGAGGGTTCTGAAGGCGGAAGAGGAACCGAACTAGAGTGGACTCAGGATGTGGTGATTTAGTCGATGGTGGGATGAATTGATGCGGTTGGAGAGTACCATCTGTGTTGGCAAAACTTGCAAGCAGCGGAAGGTCTATGACATCAGGACAGTACCATTGTTCGTTGGTTGATGGACCTAGGAATTGCTTCCCTGAAAAAAATGAAAGGAGATTAGTTTTTGGATGTGAATCTTCATGTGGTGAATATAAAAGAAGAAAGCTGACCCAATGAGCTTATTGTCTTGATCCACGAGCTGTAAGAGCAGGCTGTCCTCTGGAAGTGAAATTGGGGGCTGTGGGGGTCCAAATTGCCCATCGATAAGGCACGGAACTGGACCAGTGTTGAGAGGGAAGTCCACGTAGTTTGATACTTCTGCCAGTTGGGTTTAACCCCTTCGATCTGTTGATGGAGCTGAATCAACATGATCCGAACATCAGTTGACTTGAGGATGGTAATATTAGTATTAGTAAGAGGGGTGGATGGTTGATCTTGGGGCTGGTTGGGAAGCTGAGAAGACTCGGTGGGAGTGGGCTGTGGCTGGGTTGAATTGGCTTGACTGTTGGGTGGGTTTTCTGAAGCAGAGGGCTGTTGAGAATTGAGAGAGGTTGTAGGGCCCGGTGGGGGGTTGGGAATCTGGGTTTGCTGTTGTTGAGTAGTAACTTGAGAGCTGGAGATGGGGGTTGGATCTTTTGCTTGGGTTTGGACATGCCCGGATGGTAGATCGGGTGGTGGCATTGACCGTTGATCATGAGTTGAGTCTGTGGTGGAGTCTGCTCCAAGGTTGTCCGAGGGAGTGCTGGGTACATTGTTTTTCTCAGCTGTGTCCGACCGAGGGTTTGCTTTGTTTGATTCTGGGGTGGGCAAATTTGAGGCTGTTTGGGAATTGGGCACCAATTGAGCTGTAGTTTGATCAGGTGTAGTTTCAGCGGTAGGATTCGGCGGTGGAGGCGGTGGATTTGGTTGCTGATTGAGTAAGTCAGCTGGTTTGGTGGCCGGATTGCGTTTACCTCTTTTGCGTGGAGGGTTTTTTTTGAAATTGGGTGTCGATGAAGAAGGGGCTGCTGTCGCGCCTTGGTGGATCTTGATTGCTTCATCATCAGGAATTTCGCCAGTTTCTTCCCAAGCTATATCAGAATTTCATTGTGGTAATTGCATGTCAGACAATTCAGGTAAGAATCAAGATGAAACATCAAACTTACTTCTCTTGGTACGAACAAGAGACTTCTCAAGTGATTCAACTTGCTCCTTCAGGCTCCTGGGAAGTTTGAGGTTGCGGAGGCCACGTGTAGCTTGCTCGGCCGCCATCATGTTTCGATTAAATTCTTCGGCAGTGATTTGTTGGATTTCAGTGTCGAGTATGGGCTCGGAAGGGATCAGTGGGGCAGACGAGCTTGGTTCATTGGCTTTGAGAGCAAACTCTTGGAAGGAAGGGGGGCGAACTGATGGAGCAGACAGGGGGGGAACACTTTGGAAGTTCTTGGCTAGTACAGTGTCGGCTGTTGGACAAGTGAGGCCATACTTAGTCAGTGTGGGTATGAAGGCAAGATCACGGGGACATACTTGGGGGAGGAGTTCCATGGCCTTCTTGAGAGACAGAATCTTCGGAATTGGTGTGGCTTTTGGTCGTATCACTTGCTGGGGAGATAGGATCCATTGTTTTTAGATGAGCTTCAGAGGGGGGGTAGGACTATATGTGATGTTGAGATGGTATTCCAGAATGGATGGAATTATTATTATTTTTTTTTTGGGATGGGGGGAGGAAGGAGCAAAATCGAGAACAGGAGAGGGGTTTTTAAACCCCTTACTGACGTCTCTGGAATGGGGAACAGTCCCACGATGAAAATTTTTTTCACCATGGGCCCCCCGCAATCTATTGTTTGTACTG